AACAAACTATAGAGGCAGTTGCGAGGCGGTGCGAAGAGAAAGGGAATTGCACGATCTCAAAATTGTATTTAATTATTCTGATTCTGTTTGTTCACGGTGGCTGGCTATCTGATTTGCTTGTTTCATCAGTTGGTGGCGATCTCTTCGGAGTTCTAGATGTTCATATTTATTCTCCTCTCTTCTCCACTCCTTGTCTTGTTAACTTTGTGTATCCTTTCGCTTACCACCCCCTCTCCGATGTGTATTATACCCAGTACTATACTACTATTGAAGATGTTTTGTATTCTGTAATGTATCGTGGATATATATTTTGCTAGTACTACTCACTGATACAGCCAGTCAGCCAGTAGATAGTAAATCTTATCTGATCTATTGCACATCATGTTGATAAGACCGCAAAGATGCATAACGTACACTCAATAGAAGACTTCAATCTATAAATCTATCTTTATCGTCACAGAATTTTCGAACAATCCAACAAAAATCGACTGACAACTAACTACGCCTTGGCAGGAATGTTCGGCGACTTCAAGCACGTGAACACAGCCACGCAAACGGTGACCATCGCGATTCCACCCGTGGTGTAGGCGATTTCGCGCCCAACCCACCAGAACAACGAACAGAAGAGCAACGGTCCCGCCGCGCGCCCGACCTGGCCCCAGCTACGGAGTCTACCCAAGACCGCACCGCGGTCTGACTCCTGTGCCTCGAAGCTACCCAGGCTGTTGAGGCCCGTGACGACTGTGGCGCTGGTGATAGCGAGGAGGCTGCCGGCGGCGTAAAGGCCGGAGAGGGAGGACACGCGCGCGAGCATAAAGAAGGATACGGTGCAGGCAAGGACGCCGGCGCGGACTGTCACGAGTGGGGGCAGACGGCGCACGATAGTGCCTTGGAGGAGCGAGGCGATTAGACCCATCATGGAGAGGAGGCGGCCATTTAGAGCGGAGGGGCTGGCTTGGCTGCCGGCGTAGAAGGTGGCGGTTAGGAAGGGGAGGGAGAACTCAAGGCCGGAGAAGGGGAGGAGGAAGAGGAAGTGGATAGCGTTGAGGATGGCGGGGTTGTTGGTGTAATGTTTGCGTTTGGGAGTGGGGGTGGATGTGGACGTGGGGGCCTTCGAGGCAGACGTGGTGGTTGAAGAGGTATGAGTGAGCTTGGTGAAACGAGGGTGGGTTTCCGGCAGACAGAAGTAGATGTATGCGGTTTCGACGACAATGAGCAGAAGGGAGACGCCGGCTGCGGTCGCGAAGGGGTTTGCTGCCACAGTGGTGATGTTCGAGAGAAACGCTCCTAGGGCGGGTCCGCAGGTGAAGGCGATGCTGAAGCAGGCGCCCACCAGGGCCATGGTCGAGCCGCGCTGGCTGGGGTCGCTGATGTCGGTTGCAATGGCGTTGGCCAGCTGCACATTCCCTTCACTAAGACCACCGACGATGCGACTGGCCAGGAAGGTGCGGAAATCGGTAGCAGCGACCCAGAGAGCGACGCTGAGAGTGTTGCCAACCATGGAGTAGAGGAGGGCAGTCTTGCGGCCGCGCTGGTCGGAGAGACGGCCGATAAAGGGGGCGGCTAGGGCCTGGAGAAAGGAGAAGAGAGATCCGAGAGCACCACCGAGGAGAACAATATCATAGCGCGAGTCGATGGGCTTTGCGAAGGAGTTCTTGTAGGCATTGAGATAGTGGAAGACGCGGTTCAGCAGCGATTTTGGGGAGGGGTCTTGGTTGCGGTAGAAGGAGAGGAGAGATGGGAAGAGGGGTAGAATGAACGTAAAGGATATCTAGATCAACGGTTAGAGAAAGAAAATCATGAGAACGAGAGTAACAGCAGCAAAACATACCAAATCCAAGAGCAACGAGGTCATCAAGACCTTGAGGATCTTCTTCCGCTGGTCTGCGGCGACCGCCATAGTGGTGAGACGGCGAGGTGCGGGAAACACTAGAAGGTCAAGACGAAAGAGAGAAAAAAGAAGAGCGGAAGAAGAGAGCGAATAAAGGGGGTTTGATTAAACATGAGGAACAGAAATGGAACGAAGGATAGCAGCGTTCAGCAGCATAAGAAAGGCAGGTCGAAGAAGAACAACAACAACACGATGGCATCTTCTCCTCCGAGGCACCTGCCAATTATGTCATAGCCCTGAGCCCTATCAGATGCGGGACTCGGCCTTGGCTGCCTTTTCGGGTCAATTCGAGTTGATCTATTCATTTCGCTTACATTCATACTTGCATCTACAATGGTCTTATACTGGTTCGTCCAATCTGGCGAGGAAAAGTAAGTGTGCCGCTGGCTTCCATTGCCGCCGAGCTGCACTTTGACCTTATATTCCTAGCAACTTCGTCCCGGCCGTCAACGGCCAGACATTCTCCCCTGCTCCTGTCGCTGCGCACCGCCCTGGCCTGCAACCCTCCACGTCAACATAAGATGCAAATGAATAAAATACAGGAAAAGAATAGTAGATGGCCAATATGACAAGCTTTGCCGCCACCATCCGAATGCAATGGCCCCGTGGAAGCGGTCATCACAGCTCGAAAGACAAGGTAAAAGAAAAGATATGAAAGAGCAACATTATGCACGCTCAATAACTGCAAACATATACAACCGGAACCTTGGGGAAGAGAATCCAAAAGAAACGTCGAGCAATGCTACCGGATGACTGGTTCATCGGCAGCGTGTCGCCCTCGTAGCTCCGTGTTGTAATCATTTCAAGAGTCATTGCTTTCGTCAACCATGACACCGCCATTACCCATGAGTTTATTAGTATGAGAGAGGATAGACAAAGGAAAGCACAACGCCCCGACGGCTGCAATAATAAAAGCGGGGAAGATGTAAAGATGTAGCATGGACAAGGCCCAGTGCCATTCAGAAGGCAAGGAGCCAGCATCAGGACCGTGTCGGCCTTGAGATGTACTTCTCACAGAGGAGCACAACCCCCAAGCCAGGCGACGGATCGATCCTGTTCCCAGCTGCACTGGCTTACTGGTTTCCAGCAGGAGCGGCACTGGGAGCGCCATTGCCATTGGCGTTGGCTCCGCCACGGCCCCGACCACCACGGCCGCGACCACGACCGTGGCCACGGAACTCGCCGCGTCCGCGTCCCCGGAAACCATCACCACGTCCACGGCCATGTCCGCCACGACCACGTCCGCGAACACTAGGCTGTCTCTGGTGGTGGTGTACCTGCTCGAAGCCGTCCTTCGGCACAGTAACATTCTCGGTGCCCTGCTCGGCAGCCGGGCTGGTCTTTACCTCAGCTTGCGCCGCTGCAGGTGTGGCCTCCAGGCCAGTATCGGTCTCGGCGGGGTCCCGGGGGACTTCAACCCAGCCTTCGGTGTTGGCCGAGGAGACACCATAAGCATTGGCATCCCAGTTGGCCTCCGCGACTGCGTTACCACCCTCGCCAACGAGAGTCTGAGCAGGCGGCTGGACCTGTTCCGCCTCAGGCTCAGCGGCAGTAGCGGACTCGTTAGCAACGGTAGCAGCAGCGTCGGTGTTGTAAGAAGAATCCTGGAGCTCGGTGTAACCGGCGTTGGCAATAGTAGGGTCCGACTGAGGAGCGGCCTCGGTGGTGGCGGTGGTGGTCTCGTCAGTTGGTCCAGCAAGCTCAGCAGCGGCCTGCTTTACTCTTCCGTCTGATCAACAGATTATCGTTAGCAACAGGCAAAACAAAATACATGGGATGACGGCAGTGCTCACAGGTGACATCGAGGAGAGTGCTGTCAACGCCAACCACCTTCTCGTCCACGCCATCGATGATTTTAAGCATGGAAGAGACAGCATCCTGAGTACCGCCGTAGATCTGGTAAAGGACACCCTCAAAGGCACGGCTTTCATTCGAGGTCTCGTCTCCAGTGTTTCTAACCCGCGCAGCCGCACAGAGGAACTTGCTCAAGTTAAGCAGCTTCTGTCTGAGCTCCGTCTCTCTAACACCGCTAGCAGCTTCGGTGGCCTGCTTCTGAACAGCTTCAAGCTGCTCCTTGTGGGCCTGCTCCAGCTCAGCCTTCTGGCTGACCAAGCGTTCCTCGTAATAGGCAGCGAAGCTCTTGAACTGGGCAATCTGTTCCTCGATCTGAGCAACAGCGGCCTGGAGGGAAGGCTTCTTCAGGGCCTGAGCCTTCTGATCGACGTTGATCTTCTTCTCCGCGACGAGCTCGTCCAATGACTTCCCAGGGTTTTCGGCGATGATGGCGTCAACCTTAGCGGTCGCATTCTGGATGGGGCAAATGTGAGCGGTGTACAGGGACCTAAATTTGAGTCGGGTGAACGAACCAGCTTCTTCATAGCATTGCGCAGGCTCCTATAGCACTGTAATTAGCATCCTATCTGACTTGGTCTCTTTTCCCCGGTCAAATGGTGGGAAGCGCCGAGGCTGATTTCTCGGATGACTCACTTCTGAAGTTCTTTGGAATGTTGATGCTCATGGTTATCGGAACCGTTGACCTCTGCCTTGAAAGCGATCGAAGGGCTAGAAGCATGGTTCGGCTTGTGCTTCTCTGAGGTCTCGGACTGTGGAGGAGGGTTGGTGTTGACAGCTGCGGCGGCCATTGTAGCTGAGTTGTGAGATGCTAGACGCTGGGAGGGAGTCTAGTTGTTTTTGGTAGAGAAGAGGGGTAGTAGGACAAAGAAAAAAGGGAATGTAGAAATAAAGAGGAGAGGAGGAAAGGGAGAAGGGTATTTGCGCAAGTTGAGGGAAAGTAACTGGAGAAGAGTAGGAAGAGAGAAGAGAGAGAGAGAGAGAGAGAGAGAGAGAAGAGGAAAGGAAGCCAAGGCGGCAGAAGTGACAGAGCGAGAGACACAGCGAAAGACGACGAAGATGCGGGTGGAAGGCTTCCGAACCGCAGCGCCGCCTTTGCTTTGTCGCGTGCTGTTCGCCGCCAGCCCAACAACTTTTGCCCCCAAAACGACGCTCGGACGATCGCGCAGCTTAATGTGAACTCAATGGCCTACAAAGGAAACTGTGGTTGGAGGAGCGTCTCAGACGCATTACAGGTTTGATATTCAACAGGGGGAATCCCTGCTGCTTTAGATCACCATGATCGTTGGGTATCATCACAAACAACTCCTAATTAACGCCGCGCACACCTCCCATCATCGTCTGACCAAGTCTCATCAGTCATTGTCCCGTGGGGGAGGCATGGTGCGCAAAAGAAAATAAACTCCAGAGCAAAAGCCAACCTCCTACGGATATTCCTTCCCAAGTCCAATGCCCATCTCGTTATAGTATAGTCCCGTCACTACAAGGCCATTGCGACATCATACATGCTCTCCAGGAGCCCGGAGAAGAAGGCTGAACCGCACACGGTGCACAAGCTTATCCTTTAAACTTCCGAAGGGTTCTCTAAATCGCCGGAAATCCATAGTCAGCCTAGATCATAACAGGCTATCCTTGAAATCCAACAAAGCAAACATACCTCAGTCACCTTCCGAACACTGTTTGGGGAGATGTTCTTTTCGCCCGCTTTGCGCGATTGAATTGAGGATTCCCGCATCAGTCTGCAAAGACAAGCAGACATTAGCAACTAGCTTCATATTACTCCGCCCAAGCAATCCCCAGGTGATTGTGACCCGTAAACGATGACGTCGACTCACTCTTGCATGAACAGCATGTAATCGAGGAAGATCTATACAGTAAAGACGAGCGCGTCAGTTTCTGAGTTAACGATGATAGTAATAAACAAGGGTTCAGGGTCGCAGCTTACCAGAATATCGGCATTCTTGCTCACGTTGCGGTTGGAGTGCGCCTTGACGACGCGTTTAACGGTCGCGCGGGGGTATAGCTTTTGTGTAGCTGCCATAATAGCTCCTGGCGCAAAGGATTGGCAGCACCGAGGTTATCAGTTGAGGCGGTGGTGCTGAGGGTAAATGAAGTGGATCAGGACGGGCGGCGGAAGGGTGGAATAGATAATGGGAACAATAAACATGACTACTAAGATTCACCACTAGAAGTTGATCTCGACTCGAGCTCTCAAGCTTAGCTGCTTTTTCCTTACCGCTTGCCCTGTTGGTGTAATTTACACCAGTCCCTAACCAAACCGTACCATACGCAGTCCAATCAACTTCTTATCTAATCGAGAACCGGGCAATAAATAAGTATTCGCCGCATGATGGGATCGGCTTTGACACTTTGAAATATATAATATGAAGGTGCGTCGTCATCAACATTGTTATTCACAGAGATTATATATAAGACTTGAAGCATGGACATATTTGATATCTACTTTGTCCGACGGAGCAGCTTCCATGCATAGATGGCGGCTGTAGAGCCCAGTGCGATCCTCCAGGCCACAATGATGTAGATGCCAATCCGCACCCGTTCATAGTAGCCCCGGAGCATGATACCCACTGCATATGCACTGCCGGTAGGGTCTGTATCAGACGACCCAAAATATCTACCTACTCCAAGCCCTCCAATGCCGACTTGGTTGTGTTCCGCATTCCCATTGGTCGCTGTGGTCTTCGTGACCGGCAGTGCAGCGGTCTGGCTATCCACCGCCGTGTTGCTGGGCCGGGCACCCGACCGGACCTGGCTTCGGTTGTGCTTGCGCAGACGATATGTCAGAACGTTTATGATGAATCGCAAATCTAGTGCTGTGAAATTGGGATATTTCCATAACTGTACAGCGGTATGAGGTGGAAGCATATCTAGAAAATCAGCCATGATACCCAGTGTCAAGCCCCAGAGAAGGAGTGGCCGGTCCTGGCTGCCGAAGTGCGTCTGACTGCCCATGCACCAAGATTTCCATCGCTGAAACAGAGATGTGGACGCTTGGTTGCCTTCTGGAAGATAGCCCGGGGTCGAGTTGCACTGTAGGCTTTCAGTTGGAGCCAGCCGGATGGCAGAAAACTGCATGTAGCCCATCATGGAGCGATATGCAAGGCGGGCCAGAAGCCCGCCCATATTCGCCAACCTCTGAGTCATGTCCACATGTTCCACCGTTCTTAGGGATGAAGAAAGCAAGGCTCTGAGGGGTACCCAATGGGTTGAAGCGACTTCCGTAGGCTGCAATCGGAGGGTGGGAGAGTCACTGGACGTTAACAAGAAGACATATGGACATAACACCATCAATCTAGAAAGGATACAGTCAGTGGTATGCTTTCTTTAAGTGACAATAAGGAGACGGGAGAAGACACGCACGGTACTGTTCCCCAACTTGAAGTTACTACTCTCTCTGGTAAATTTCCCACATGGATACAGTCACTTGTTGTCAAGTCCAGTCCAATCTCTTCCACGGCTTCTCGAATCGCGGCTGCTTTATCGTCGACATCTTCTGGGTCCCGTTTCCCTCCTGGCAGGGCGACATGGCCAGTCCAACGATCGCCGACGCGCGACGCTCGTTTGATAAAGAGAGCTTCCGGTTCTCCATTCTGAACCCAGTCCTGGGCGAAAAACGTCTGCAGCCGTTGCGGAACGGAGGCAGAGACATCTGGAGGTGAAATAGACGAGGCATCGGGCCAGTGGTGGTATATGGGACGGACACGGAGGATCAAGGCGACAGAGGCACGTTTCTTACACGACGGCGGATTGGGGACATGGGGATATGGACGGTTGTGTAAGTCTGACAGGACGTCATGAAGAGACGGGGCCAACGACGCGGACATTGTAATCGAAGGTGGATCCATTTACCAGGAGCCTGGGGGAAAGGGGAATTTGTGTCAGGTACGGAATGCCTATAGTTGAACCTATAAGGCGCAGCGAAAGACAGACAGAAGGGATGCGGATAACATCAGGATGGAGGCCGGAGATTAGTGATGGGGCCGAGGCTTAGTATGGTAATGGTATTTCTGATACCACAATATGAAGTTGATACTAGCTCTCAACTGGCTGGGGATAGCTTGAACTCAATTAGCCAATCAGAGTGTCATGGGGAAGGAATGACGGGAGCACGTGCGAGGATACAGCGATGGCAGTCCTTCTGGCTTGAAGCTGCTAAAGTAGTCGCTATCTAGTCCTCTTTGCTAGTCATGATGCTGTTGCTGCTTGATCCCCTCGCCACTTTCTTCTTTTCTTTTTCTGTTTCTCCTCTTCCTTCCTGAAAAATTTCTTCTCGACCCCGATAACAAAAATACGGTGCATATAGCTAATTGCTTATCCCCCTTGCATCGATCGCCCTCCGTGGTTCCCGGAATCGTCTCCGCTAGGACGACATTCCTTACATCTATAGTCTCTCCCGGAGTCCATCTCTCTCTCTTCCCCGCCTCCGATCTTCTCAACTGTCGCGTGCGTACTTGCCCATCACAGTCATGCGTTTCGGGAAGACTCTACGCAACTCTATCTATGCCCCCTGGGCGGGCAAATACATCGACTACAATAAGCTGAAGGTCTTGCTCCGAGAGCATGATGTCACTGGTGATGGCAGTGACTCCGAAAGCAACCCATGGACCGAGCAGGATGAAGAAGCCTTCGTCCAAGAGCTCATCAACGTCCAGCTCGATAAGGTCAATGCTTTTCAGATGGAAACCCTCCAGCAGTTGCGAGAGCGTACCACTACCTGCGAAGCCCGCTTGCGCCCGTTGACGACCTCACCCGAGGATGATGCACCTACCGTGGTGGATGGAGAGGAGAAGAAGCGTGTTGCTTCCGATGTCCTGCAGGAACTGGACAATATCACAAAGGAGGTGACAGAGCTCGAGAAGTACAGCCGCATCAACTTCACCGGCTTCCTCAAAGCTGCAAAGAAGCATGATCGCAAGCGTGGTACTCGCTACCGTGTCAAACCTCTGCTCCAAGTGCGTCTCTCGCAACTTCCTTTCAACTCGGAAGATTACTCCCCTTTGGTCCGTCGGTTGTCCGTGATGTACTCCTTTGCCCGCGAGATTCTCAGCCAAGGTATAATCGAAGCCAAGGACCCCGTCGAGCCTCGTGTCGGTCAGGATGTCTACTCCTCATTCAAGTTTTGGGTTCATGCAGACAACATCCTGGAGGTGAAGACCTACATCCTCCGACAACTGCCTGTCCTTATCTACAACCCTGGCACTTCCAAGGATCTCAACACCATCCCCGATGACCCCACGATTACCTCCCTCTACTTCGACAACCCGCAATTCGACCTTTACACCCAGAAGGTGGCTCGTGCCCCTGAAGCGGGCTCGCTGCGGCTGCGCTGGACTGGCAACTTACGGGATAAGCCAGCCATCTTCCTGGAGAAGAAGGTGGTCACCGATGATGATCGCAGTCGAGAGGTCAAGGTGCAGCTCAAGCAGAAGCACGTCAAGGAGTTCCTGGACGGAGAGTACCGTTTCGATAAGAAGGTACATCGCATGGAGAACATGGGCAACGGAGACTCCGAACAAGCGGAAGCTTTCAAGAAGGATGTCGATGAGCTCCAATCCTTCATCAAGGAGCACAACCTGCAGCCCATGCTCCGCGCCAACTACACCCGCACTGCCTTCCAGATCCCTGGAGATGACCGAATCCGTATTTCTCTTGATACGAACCTGGCACTCATCCGGGAAGATGCGCTGGACGAGCTGCGCCCGTGCCGTGACGCACATGAATGGCACCGGAGGGACATTGACGATGCTGGCATGGAATATCCCTTCCAGTCCATCAGAACCGGCGAAATCGCTCGTTTCCCCCATGGCCTGCTGGAGATCAAAATCAGAGGGGATGTGGCACGTAGCGCGGAATGGGTCAAGGACTTGATGGTGTCCCATCTCTTGAAGGAAGCCCCGCGGTTCTCCAAATTCGTACATGGCGTGGCCCAGTTGTTCGAAGACTATGTCAACAGCTTCCCCTTCTGGCTCGGTGAGTTGGAAAGTGATATCAGGCGGGACCCTGAGACGGCTTTCCACGAAGAACAGGAGCGTCTGGCGAAGCGTGCCGAAGACGATATGGCTGTCGGGAGCTTCTTGGGAGGCAAGACACCGTCAACTCGACACATTGTCGGGTCCCCCGTCCAGATGTTCACCGAGACGGGGCCTTCACGTCGCCGCCAATCCTCCCAAATTGTACAGCCGATCCCTCGTCCGTCTGCCCCGACAATGTCACAACCGACCCCTGAGCGTCAGGAGCCTGCCGAACAGTCCGCCGCAGAGGCGGAACAGCCAGTCACCATGAAGCGCCTGGCCTCTCTCTTCCCCTCCTTCACCATTTCCCGTCAGAACCGCGCACCTGCAGACAATGTAGTCCTGCCCCCTGGTGTCCGGGAGCCCGGCACATGGATCAAGGACTCGGGCCCGGTCCGTGTCGAGACCAAGGTCTGGCTCGCCAACCAGCGTACCTTCATTAAGTGGCTCCATATTAGTATCCTGCTTTCTTCGCTATCTCTGGGTCTGTACAACGCAGCGGGCAAGCACAACGACATTGCTCGCGCCCTGTCCATCGTCTACACCTGCTTTGCCATCTTCGCCGCCGCCTGGGGATGGTACATGCACGAGAAACGCGCCCGTCTGATCCGCCAACGGAGCGGAAAGGACTTGGACAACATGTTTGGTCCGATTGTGGTCTGCGTGGGGCTGGCCGTGGCCTTGGTATTGAATTTTGCCTTCAAGGTAGGCTCTTATCCCACCTGCATCCCTACTAAAGAGCTCAAACTAACCTCAAATCTAGTACAACTCTACCATGGAGAAGCTCCGAAACCGTGAACCTGCGGTCATGGAGCCCCTTCCCGGGCTGAACTCGACCGCGTTCTTGAACAAGGCCAACATGTGGCAACTCGTTAACCAAGGTGGTCAGACTCTGTGAGATGATTTCCTTTCTTTCAATTCTTAAGGCGATATGTGGCCCCAGAATGTAGTCAGTCACAGCCACAACCACAACCACAACTTCTGTAAAGTCAAAATAGATTGTATGAGACGGTCGACACACCCACCTCCCCCTTTACTTGAGGTATACATGGGGTGGTGTATTGTCAATGTACGTATCTTTAGCATGTTATTATGTGATTAGATGGGTTTTTGTCATGTCAACACGAGCGAAT